CCACCGCCACCGCCACCACCACCCCCTCCCTCTTAGGGTCGGGGCCTAGCAGTGTGAGCTTGTTGCTGTTCCCTGCAGTGATGCAAGATCGCTCCCTTCCTGCCTTTACATGAGACCCTGCTAACTTTCTCTTCCATTTCCTGAGCCCTCTGCTCCGTCCTAAAATGCCTTTCTGTGTTTGTCTGGTGCCATATTTAAGCTGTGGGCTTCAGTGACGAGTCTGCCCCAGCTTTTTACCAGCCTCAGGGTTTTCCTTGTTGGTATGTTTGAGATATTGAGCTTGTGGACCAGGCGCTCTGAAATTGTCTCCCGAGCACCAGGTCTAGGTGGGCCATCCTGTGACCAGCACAGAGCTAAAGTGGGCCCTCCCAAAACAGCCCTGGGGAGAGCATAGGGCACCTGGTCTCACACCACCAGGACCAGGGCCTGGTAGTTGCTCCTCACTCTGGCTCCACCCTGTGCGAGCACTCGCCTGCCGCACCTGACTCTGGGGGTTAGAGAAGCTGTGTCCTCCTCCCCCTGCCTTTGGAGTGGGGTGATGGGCGTAATACTGCCTCACCATTCTCCCGGGGACTAAGGACCGTGCATACGCGGGTCCCCAGCAGTGCTGAGTGGAGCCTTCAGAGCTGACTTCCTTTGCCCATGCCCAGACCTTTGTACCTAGTTTGTGTCTGTTTATAATTCTGCCATGCCTATATTAGGGGAGCTCAGGTAGTTTCCCAACTCACAGCCCCTTTGGTTTTTGGGACTTTAAATCTTTGCAAAAGTAAGCAGCCTCATCTTACTTTCAAAGAGCAGCTGGTAGGTTCAAACTGTTGACCATGTTGGTAGCAGCACAACGTGTAACCCACCATGCCACTTCAGCTCCTTAGAAAAGGACGTGAAACAAGAGACATTATTGTTGATGTTAAATGGATCTTGGTTCAAAGCAGAGGGATACCAAAATTATATTTACTTGTACGTAATTGACTATGCAAAGGTATTTGACTGTGTGGACCATATCAACCTACGGATCGCCTTGAGAAGAGCGAGCGTTCCAGAATACTTCGTTGTGGTTGTGCAGAACTTGTTCGTGGATCAAGAATCAATTGTGCAAACTGAATCAGGAAATACTGCATGATTTCAAAGCAGAGAAGTTGTGCATCAGTGTGTATGTGGAGCAGATAATCAGAGAGGCTGGCTTATAGAAAGAAGAGATGCAGCATTAGAATCAGAGGAAGGCTAACGAACAACCTGCAGCATGCAAGTGACAGCACCTTGCTAGCTCAGAGTGAGGAGGACTTGAAACAGTTCCTGATGAAGATCAAGGTTTGCAGCCTTCAGTGTACATTATAGCTCAATGTAAAGAAGACAAATTCTCACAACTTAGCCACTCCCTTGCTGACGTCGTGATCGACAGAGAAAAGGTTGAAGTTGTCGGCGACTCCATCTTACTTGGGTTCGCAATCAGTGCTCATCAAAGCCACACCAAGAAGTCAAACAATGCATTGCATTAGGTAAATTCATCTGCAGAAGACCTCTTTAAAGTGTTGAAAAGCAAGGATGTTACTTTGAGGTCTTCAGTGCCCCTGACCCCAGTCGTGATACTTTTCAGTTCCCTCCTGGGCATGTGACGGTGATCAAGGAAGGCCAGAGAAGAAGGGGTGCGTTTGGACCACGGTGCTGGGGAAGAATGCTAAACGCGCCACGGACGGCCCAAGACACCAGCACGTCTGTGTGGACAGAAGTACGGCCAGAGTGAGACTTTGTGCCGCGGACTTTGGACATGTCAGGATAGGCCAGACCCCGGGAAGAACACCGTGCCTGGTAAAGTGGAGCGGCAGTGAGAAAGAGAAAAGCGTTCGACACGAGGGACGGACAGCTTGGCTGCCACAGTGGGCTCAGACAGCCATGGGGAGGCTGGTGCAGGACAGGGCAGTGTTTCCTTCCGTTGTACACAGGCCAGCTGTGATTCGGAACCCACTTGACGGCACCTACCCACAAGGCAGTTTCAGACTGGGTTCTGATTTCTGGATCCCTTGAGACTCTCAGGTCAATGTTGTACTGACTCCTGAAATCCACCCACCAAAAATAACTGACAGTACAGCCAGGTGGCCCCTGGGAAGTCCTGGAGAAGCCTACCAGATGTTTCTGTTTGAAAGCTCTTGCCCAGAATGTTCCGGTCAAACCACCTTCGTGGGTGCCTGTGCCGTCATAGTGTGGGCGATGCTCCTCAGAGCCCACTCACTGCCTGGCGAAGGGCATGGGGCGCAGTCCATGCCACACAGCAGAAACACAGCTGCCCCAGGCCCCGCTGCACGGAGCTCCAGGAGTCCGTGGTCCATCCCCAGAGAAGGAAGTCTGTGGTTTTAGACAGGAAAGACAGACTCGTCCTTGTGAAGGTGAACTAACAGAAGGAAGGCAACTTGGCTTTACCCAAACCCATTCTGCATGCTGCTGCTGTCTTAGCTGTCACTTCTGCCGCTTGGAGGGTTCCACGCGGTGCAGCCGTGCCTGCTGTCTGCACGCAGAGCACCCACCAGAGAGGTCGCCTTAGCACCAGCTTGACCTGCAGCTCCTGTCATCCTCCCTCGGCCCAGCCTCCAGGTCGGGACCGCACTCACCCCACAGGATAGCGCCACTGAAGGCGTCCCTGGGCCCTGGGCTCAGCTGTTTCCCATCCATGCCTCGCGCCCAGGGTGCTCACTTGCTCTGTTTCACCAGGCTGTGTGACCACCTTGTCTCAGCTGCTGGTGTAGTTCCCTCCCCTACTTGGTCCTGCCCATTACTTCTGTGCCCAGCACGTGCCCCAGTTGTGTCTCGGGAGCTGCAGGAGCCCTGAGCAGGGGCGCAGCAGTCAGTGGGCCAGCACAGAGAGAAGCGAAGGTTGAAGGCAGAAGGAAACGTGTTTGCTTGCGTTTCCCCCGGCCCGTGAGTAGTGCTGTTTGTAAGCAGGAGAGGACAGCGCAGATTGTCAGGAGAAGTGGAAACGGACACACAGGGAGGAAGTGGGCTAGTGGCATGACGGCAGTCTCTGAGATGAAGCAAACCTGTCTGTGAACCGCTGACAGGAAACACGTAGTCCGTGTGCTCTCCACCAACTCACAGTAAAGTCTCTCTTAAAATGAACCTGGAAGGACGCAGCCCCTGGAGCAGACCTGCTGCACGGAGCCCCTGAGATCACAGTTCTCTATAGAAGCAGATTGCCTCCTGTCCGTCTCAAGGAGCGACCATGGGGCTCAAACTGCTGACCTTGCAGTTTGCAGCCTGGTGCTGACCTCACTGCGCCACCTTAGCTCCATTATGAATTCTCTACCTATGGGAAGCACCGTAAGATTTTACATCCTGCCAGCTGAAGTGCTTGACGCTTCTGCCCGGGGCACATGGGAAGAAGAAAGGCCTTGCCGCCACCGGTGGGCTCGGTCTGGTTGCCACCAGAGCAGGGCGGGGTCCCGGCCTGCTAGCTGCAAAGCCATGCCACCTCTGTGGCTTGAACGCCTGAGGGAAGTGCGGCAGAAGGAAGCGTCGGCTCCACGTTTCTCTGAGGAGGAGGTTTGTGGGGGCCCTCTTTTCCACTGAACACACTGTCCCCTTCCTAGACTCTCGGCAGCAATGCCTTTGTGCCCAGAGCACCTCAGCCGCCCCCCCAGCCCAGAGAGGCAGGCAGGCAGCCAGAACTTTTGGCACTTAGTGTGACTGCTGGTCTTACATTCAGTTAGGCTTGCCATTGGACTCTTCTTTTCCCGCTGGCGGGATGGCACTGCTGTGAGACTGTGGAAGCCTGGGAACCGCTGGTGCTACCCCTAACGTGCCCATGGAATCCCCAGTTTGTGCTCGATGCTGCTTTCACCAGACCTGTTACCCTCTGGATGAAGGTGAACGCTGCAAACACCTGCCGGGGGCGTGATGGAAGAAACCTGGCCACTTAGCCTGTGGCCCTGAGCACAGGAAGCAAGCCACCAGGTCTCTCACCAGGCCACAGAGCCCAGTTGCTGCTCAGTGCCAGGCGGCAGCGTAGCCGTGCACAGGCCGGGTGTGGGGTCCAAGCAGAGCCGCCCTGTGGGATCAGATGCGCCGCATCTCTGTGTGTTTGATAGGGCCTTTCTGTGTCCTCTAAGGAACAAGCCTGTGCATTCTAGCATGCTGGGCAGTGACGTCACTGTGATTTCCATAAAGGACTTGGGCATGAGCAGTACTTGAGTAAGGGGGCAGGGACAGCCTTTCGGCAGAGCGGAGCCCTCGGGCAGCTCGTCCTGCCTTTAGTTTGCGCTTGTGCTCAGCTGGCTAACCGCCCCACTCTCCTCTTGCCCTCCCGCAGAGACAGACGACTACGCGGAGATCATCGATGAAGAGGACACATACACCATGCCCTCCAGTAAGTAGCCAGGGAGCTGCCCCACTGGGGGTTGGGCGGCTCACACCGCGCCGTCCCCCCTCCCCCCAGGAGTTTGAGAGCTCCTGGTCCCTTTGACTTCCTGCCTCCTTCAGGGCCTAGAAGAGGTGGGCTTCTCAGCCCTCAGAGCTCTGTGTTGCACGTGCCTGTGTTAAGGTAGTCTAGACCAGCAGGCGTGAACCGATTTCTACCAACACTCCTTTTAGTTACAAGTTTTTAAAAAGTCATCTTTTCTGACTCTGATAATACTGCCTTTATTAATTCGAGTGTTAGCATTACTTATCTAAAGGTTAAACATTACCCACCTACTGAAAGAACTTCATTGTGCCCTTGAAATTGGACTGTCTTGCTTTTGAATAACAAATATAATAGCAACTTCCAGCAGTCAAACCACAGTGGGGGCTCCGGTGGGGGTAGGGGCTGTGGCGGGATGGGTCCTTCCCCTTGGTGGCCCTCCTGCAGCCCAGGAGTGCCTGGGTCAGGGAGAGCTGGGAGACCTCAGACTGTGCAGCACACAGGCTCCCTGTCAGAGCCAGCTCGGCGGCATCTCAGCAGAAGCATCCGATAGAGTGGTCGTCCCCATGCCTGGACTGGATGACCCTGGTGTGTCAGTCAGTCTTACTGCTTCAATGGAAGCCTGCGCTGTGAACAGAGCGCACGATGTCCCGATTTCAGTAGAGCCGTCTGGAGTGGTAGGGTAGTAAGCATTCCCCTCTCTCCTTGTGTGAATTTTCCCAAAGCTGCTGAGCACTGGACTAACTGTAAAGGATGAGGAGAGGTTACCAGAATAAAGAGAGACCGCCCCTTTTCCAGCATGCCCCCTTACCCGAGAAAATGCTGTGTGGAGGGAGACTTTGAAACAGGCATTTGTATGTTGGCAAAGCATCTATCTGTTGTTCCGTGCTGTGTTTAATCCAAACCGTCAAACACTCCAACCTGCCCACTGCCCTCAGGTCCGCCCTCTCAGTGACCCTGTAGGTCAAGGCTACACCTCTCCAGAAGGGGACTAGCACCGCTTTCTCCAACGGCCTGCATGATCCTCTAGTGTATGAGGGTCGTCTGGAGCAGGGGTCCTCAAACTTTTTAAACGGGGCCAGTTCACTGTCCCTCAGACCCGTTGCAGGGCCAGACTATAGTTTTTTTAAAAACTATGAACAAATTTCTATGCCCACTGCACGTGTCTTATTTTGAAGTAAAAAAACAAACGGGGCAAAAACACCCGGCAGACCGGATAAGTGTCCTCGGAGGGCCGCAGTTTGAGGATGGCTGATCTGGAGGCACCATTCCTCCATGGAGCCGATTGCCGAGAGGAGACTTGATTGTGAACTTGGGCTTTATTTATTTATTTATTTTAATGAATTTATTGTGGCTCATACAATTCATCACAATACATAGATCAATTGTGTAAAGCACATCTATACATTTGTTGAGCTCATTTTCCTTTTCCCCCCTCCCCCTCCCTTCCTCCTTCCCTCTTCCCCATGCACCCTTGATAATGTATGAATTACTATTGTATCTTATATTACACTGCCCGGCGTCTCCCTTCACCCACCCCTCTGCTGCCCGTCCCCCAGAGAGGAGGTTACATGTAGCTCCCTGTGATCAATTCCCCCTTTCTA